TGGGATGGATCCCAGACCCTCAGGATGGATCCCAGACCTTTGAGATGGATCCCAGAGCCTTGGGATGGATCCCAGACCCTCAGGATGGATCCCAGACCATGGGATGGATCCCAGACCATGGGATGGATCCCAGACCCTTGGGATGGATCCCAGACCCTCAGGAAGGATCCCAGACCTTTGGTATGGATCCCAGAGCCTCGGGATGGATCCCAGACCCTGGGATGGATCCCAGACCCTGGGATGGATCCCAGACCCTGGGATGGATCCCAGACCCTGGGATTGGCACTTCCAGGGATGGGGCAGCTGCAGATTTTCTGGAATGCTCCCGGGGATGGTCCCATCCCAGGAGCAGCTCTTGGGACAGGACACCGGGAGCAGCCGGGCTGGAGGAAAACTGGGAATGGCAGCTGGGAGAGGCTCCCGAGCATTCCCAGCTTTCCCACCCCACAGCTCCTGGGAAATCCCAGGAAATCCCGGTTCTGCAGCATCCCGGCTCCCCACCCTCCAATCCCAGCAGGATGAGGCCTCTCCTGAGGGATGGGAATGTCCCGTCACCTTTGGGACCTGCTGGGATCCAGCACATCCCACCCAGGGATCCACCGAACGGATCCCGGGAATTCTCCCAAGACCCAAAACTCCTCGGCGTTGTCCTTCCCGAGCCGCGGGAGGTGCTCGGAGCAATCCTCGGGACCTTCCCGAGCTGCCACCGCCCAATTCCAGGATCCGGGATCCGGAGGCCGGGATAGCCGAGGATTCGGGGAGAAGGAAAAGGGAGGGAGGGAACGGCTCGGCCAAATCCAGCCGGGAACACGACGGACTCACCCGAGGACATCTGGAGCTGGGATGAATCCAGCTGGGCGCGAGGCCCCAGGAATTATCCATGGGATGGGAGGAGAGGGAAGTTTGGGACGCCAGGAATGTGTCAGGGCTGATAAATCCGGCCCTCGGGGAGGGGTTTGTTTTGGGATAACGCGATTCCGGCGCTCCGCGGCGGATCCCACCCTTGGTGACATCATTCCCACGGGTGGGTGAGGAGGGAAAAGCGGGATCCGAGGGGTGGGGAAAATGGGAAATGTCCAAGCAGTGGGGGCAGGGGGATCCCAGAGTCCCAGAAACAGGGATCGGGAGCCAACATCCCCCGGGATGAGGGACAGCGCCCCGGGAGCTGCTGCTATTCCAGGGGAAAGGATGGATCTCCCGGAATCCGTCCCCGCCGGCTCAGCAGCTGGAAAAGGGGAACAAGTGCCTTGGCACCAGCCCCGGCCTTGGAATTCCAGCAGGGATTGATCCTGATCCAGCAGGGACTGATCCCAATCCAGCAGGAACTGATCCTGATCCAGCAGGGACTGATCCCAATCCAGCAGGGACTGATCCCAATCCAGCAGGACTCATCCCAATCCAGCAGGGACTGATCCTGATCCAGCAGGGATTGATCCCAATCCAGCAGGGATTGATCCCAATCCAGCAGGAACTGATCCCAATCCAGTGGGGATTGATCCCGAGCCTGGGGATGATCCTGATCCAGCAGGAACTGATCCCAATCCAGTGGGGATGATCCCAATCCAGCAGGGACTGATCCTGATCCAGCAGGGATTGATCCCGAGCCTGGGGATGATCCCGATCCAGCAGGACTCATCCTGATCCAGCAGGACTCATCCTGATCCAGCAGGACTCATCCTGATCCAGCAGGACTCATCCCGAGCCTGGGCATGATCCCGAGCCTGGGGATGATCCCGATCCAGCAGGACTGATCCCGAGCCTGAGCCAGGCTCGGATCCAATATTTTAGAATATTGGAATTAGAATTTTAGAATTCCTTGGAATTCCAGCTGGAAGCACCAGGAATGAGCTCCAGCGTCCGCAGGTGCAACAGGTGGGAAATGGGACAGGAGCTGCTCCCAGCCTCCGGCTCCGCCCCGGAGCTCCCACCGGGATCTCCTGGGTTTCTCCATGGGGTTCCCCCTCCCTGGCACAGCATTCCCAGAGCAGCCGTGGCTGTCCCTGGATCCCTGGAAGTGCCCAAGGCCGGGCTGGACAGGGCTGGGAGCACCCTGGGGTGGTGGAAGGTGTTGGAGTTGGAACAGGAGGGGATTTAAGGGCCCTTCCCACCCAAACTAATCCGGGATTTGGGAAGAGCTGAGGGTGGGAATGGTGGAGAAGATGGGATGGGGGGAGTTGGTTTTTCCTGGCATCTTGGAGGGAAGCTTGGGAGCTTCCTTCCAAACCGTGGATGGGGAATGTTTGGAGAGTCCAAGGGGATGGAGACACCTGAGCGGGGATGGATGGGAGCGGATCTGGAACCTTCCCGACCGGAGAGACCTGGAGGGGCTGGAGCGTGTCCAGGGAAGAGAACGGAGCCCCAGGAGGGGCTGGGGGAGCTGGGAAGGGGCTGGAGAGT